AAAAAAAAAAACAAAAAAAAACAAAGACCTTGCCATAGAGGTCTGTAGTAGTGCATCATGTTGCTGCCTTCAAACGCTGAGACAGACCCTGGGGATGAAATGGTGACCCACACACAAGTTTTACAGCCTAGCAAGGCTGTAGACAAGGAAACAAAACTTGATCGAGCCAAGATGGAGAGTGGACAGGAAAGTTAGTGAAGAGGCCAAGAAAGACAGGACCAGATATCTTCAGTGTCATCTGGCGGACTTGCATCTAGTTCAGATTCTTCTATAAAGTACTTGTTACCAGGCCTTGAGGCATGGCCCAGTAGTTCACAGCACAGACTGTTGAAAAGAAAGCTTTGTGTTGTTATCAGGTTCTTTTTCGTAAGAATCTTTTTGGTTTATGTCTTATACTCTGAGTAACTGTTTTGCAGATAACGGTACAGTGCAAAAAATGATATAAAACACGGCGAGGATACATTTTGTTAATCTGATGTGCCAACTGTCACAGCCCACTGACCCTGAGGGGGAGCATCTGTACCCTAATGGAACAGAGCTAGGGAAATCCGCAGGCTACCTATCTTAGCCGGGGTCAGGAGCCTTCTTGCCCATGAATTGCTCGGACACAAAGTCCACACTCGACTCTCCCAAGGTAGTGTCAGGACAGGACCTTGGAGCCAGAGGCCACTTCCTGCAGTTCTTTCACCCTAGTAAAAGTTCTGTATTCCTAGAACCTGACGGGGGCTACTCTGGATCGACAGCTGCCTGGTAGAGGTGGGAAAGGAGGGCTCACCTTTGTAGCCAGACAGCACGAAGGTCCCTACAATACATCCTAGAGCTTTTCTCCAGTGAGAGATCTCACCGGCTTTTCAAAGTTAGCTGTCTTTACAGCTGGAAACTGGGAACACTTTCATGGAGCCTGGGGAATTTCTTTGGGTCATGGAAACCTCAGGAGTTGGTTCTCCTAAGTCTGGGAGTCAGGCATATACACGGAGATGAGACAACTGATTGCCAGGCATGACGCATAAATGCAGAAAGGTTGCTCTCTGGTGGGGCAGACAAACATTGCAGTACCAGGGAATCTAGGAAAAAGGAAAGCACATTTTAAATGAGATTCCTATTTCTGTGTTTGGAGCATATGTGATGGGGTCTCGACTCTCCCCTGCCTGTTGTAAAGAGGTGATGCTGAAGGAGACCTGGGCAGGAGACCTCACTGAAGTCCTAGTCCTTCCTTCTCTTTTTGGTTTTGCATATGGGGGTGTTATTGTGACTGGAATTAATTACTTAAACAAAGTCTTCAGTATAAACTATATATACTTTCCTCTGTGTCCTGTAGGTGGTTGATGAGGAGATGAAGCTTAAGTAGGAAGTAGTTAAAGCAGTTGGCTGGAGCAGACCACAGCCTTGCAACAATTCACCTTTTGTCTTCAGGGTCCTGCTGGCTGCCTGTTGGTTGTGTGATTTCACCTTACAGAGCCTTGGGGGCTGGGCCTGCCATTGGAAGGTGGTGTCAGCCTTCAAGCGGGATTGCTCACCTCCAAACTATAAGGACAAGTCGTATGACTGTTCTTTGTGTCTCTTGTCTAACAAATGCTACATATCTGGTTGTGTTTGATGCAGTGCTTGCTCTGCATATCAAATAAAATGAAGACATAGTCTCCCAAAGAGAGTCTCCATCAGGAGAACTGGGTATTCCTGAATGGCCAAACTGACTTAGATCAGTTGGCGACATCCTGCGTGTCCCTTCATCCCCATCTGTCCGTTGAGGTATTGCATAAGCCTCCTGGGGTGTGCCTGGACCTGAGGCTTGTGCCTGCTGCCCGCTGTCCTCAGGAATGGGGAAAGGGTGGCACTGAAGGGTCTTGGAGCAGCGGGATTCTTCCGTGTGGAGGAGGCAGAATGGATGACCCAGATTTCGAATGTCTTTGGTGGTGTGGGGGGAGGTAGGGTAAGTAGTTGTGGTTTATGACTACTCTTGGGCAAGAGCGGTGGGTCCTGGCCATCTAGGTGGAAGGAGGGACAGGAGTGGGTCAATCAAGTACTCCTTCGTTCATTCCTTCCTTCATTCATCCGCACAGGGTTGTACTAAGCACCCCTCCTCTGCATGTGTGGTAAGAATGGAGACAGAGTCGTGCGCAAACTGCAGATCACAGCCTAGTGGAGACATACATCAGTCAAATAAGCTTGCAACTTTTTGTAAAACTGCAACACAGGCACCGTGAGAAGCTTTTGGATCTAAGAGAGGGAGAGTGGGGAGGGGGTGCGAGCTGAGTTTGGACCGGCTTTTCACTCCCAGGTGCCAGGGCTGGTAGAGGCTGACCCCGTGCACACGTGCCCGATTGGCGTTTGGAAAAGCTCTGCCCGGGGGGCTCCCGGCCCGGCCCCG